ACACACACACTCTCTCTCTCTCTCTCTCTCTCACACACACACACACACAGACTTGTTTTTATGCACCGTGGGGGTCACCTGTCAGAATTGCTATATAGTGGGGACCACCCTTTCCTATGATCCTACAGACCTAAAAAAATATATAATGTGACAAAAACTAAAAAGCCTGTGTGCCTCACTTCAGATTACAAATATTTCACTACAGAAGTTATAAACCTGACACAGTGGTTACTTGTGGGGTCATTTCAGGTATAGTGTATATCTGGGGTCCACCAAACACACAACCAGTTTATAGTCATTGTGGGGATCGAACTCACACCCATTTTATCCTTTTTGTAAAGTTATTAAAGTAGTAAACTGTCTTTTTACAAACTGCTTTAAAAAAATGTGTTGAAGTCAATCTACTTTGAATAGATTAGGAGCTCCAAACAAAAAAATGGTCCATTATTTATAGATTCAGTAGATGTTCTATTTAATACAAAGCAACATTTCTTGTAAAACGCATTTATAAAAACATTTGATAAACATGTCATCCATAATCTAAACCATTTCTCAAAACTCATTACATTAGTAGGCCAGCAAGTCAACAAATAACTAAAACTCTTTCATGCCTGTGTTCAAAGGAAACACTAGTTTGAGTGTAAAAGAAAAATTCATAAACCCTTCATGACATAAACGTTGTATTCTAAACAATTTCTCAAAACTTAGTACCAATAAGTACAACAAACAACTACAGCATAACTCTTGAATGTCTGCGTAAACATTTAGTTACTATATTTAGTGAAATAGCCAAGGATGGAAACTCGGTAAGACTCACCAATAACGTTTCTCTGTAGAAGATCAGCATCCTCATATCAGCGAGCAGCAGTCTTATAGTTACAGAACTCTACTGTCATTTTACATTATTTGTTCAAATGCAACATCTAAGTCAATGCCATCTTTGTTGCTGTTGAAGTATCATAAGATATACAGGTGCATCTCAATAAATTAGAATGTCGTGGAAAAGTTCATTTATTTCAGTAATTCAACTCAAATTGTGAAACTCGTGTATTAAATAAATTCAATGCACACAGACTGAAGTAGTTTAAGTCTTTGGTTCTTTTAATTGTGATTTGGCTCACATTTAACAAAAACCCACCAATTCACTATCTCAACAAATGAGAATATGGTGACATGCCAATCAGCTAATCAACACAAAACACCTGCAAAGGTTTCCTGAGCCTTCAAAATGGCCTCTCAGTTTGGTTCACTAGGCTACACAATCATGGGGAAGACTGCTGATCAGACAGTTGTCCAGAAGACAATCATTGACACCCTTCACAAGGAGGGTAAGCCACAAACATTCATTGCCAAAGAAGCGGGCTGTTCACAGAGTGCTGTATCCAAGCACAACTTTCTGTTAACATGGTTAGATACAGCACTCTGTGAACAGCCAGCTTCTTTGGCAATGAATGTTTGTGGCTTACCCTCCTTGTGACGGGTGTTAATGATTGTCCTCTGGACAACTGTCAGGTCAGCAGTCTTCCCCATGATTGTGTAGCCTAGTGAACCAAACTGAGAGACCATTTTGAAGGCTCAGGAAACCTTTGCAGGTGTTTTGAGTTGATTAGCTGATTGGCATGTCACCATATTCTAATTTGTTGAGATAGTGAATAGGTGGGTTTTTGTTAAATGTGAGCCAAAATCATCACAATTAAAAGAACCAGAGACCTAAACTACTTCGGTATGTGTGCATTGAATTTATTTAATACGACACTTCTACGACATTCTAATTTATTGAGATGCACCTGTAAATTGTTTGTTTTTGTGAAGTAACACTGTCAAACAGTGACAGCAGCAGGTAAAGTTACAGCAGGAGGCGACGTCTCTCTCTTGCCTCCATTGAGTTTGTACAGACCCCTAAAGTGTGTGCTGGGTTTGGTGGGGGGTAATTGAGAATGAATGGGGCAAAGTCACGTGACAGGAGGCAATGCCTCTATCGCAAGACTGAATATGGTTATAATCTTCTATTACTGGTTCACACGATAAATCATTCCACATCCACAAATCCACAAAAAAAATAATGACTGTTAATAGGAGGACTAGTTACAATGTAAACACACCGTCGGCGCTGAAAGTCTTGTGGGCAGTGCCCCAACATATAGAGCCGTTGTGCTACAGGCATCTTGAGTTCATATCCCGGCTCGAGGACCTTTCCTGATCCCCCCCCCCCCCCCCCCCTCTCCCTCTTTCTCTCTCTCCCTTTCTTTTGTGTGTGTGTGTGTGTGTGTGTGTGTGTGTGTGTGTGTGTGTGTGTGTGTGTGTGTGTGTGTGTGTGAGTGTGAGTGTGAGTGTGTG